ATCATACACCAATTATCATACACCACTCATCATACACCACTCATCATGCACCACTTATCATGCACCACCCATCATCCAGTTAGCTCTAGTTTCAAAAGCTAGAGCTCCAGTTAGCTCTAGTTTCAAGCGCTCTAGCTCCAGGTACCTCTAGTTTCAATAGCTCCAGCTCCAGTCAGCTCTAGTCAATAGCTCTAGCTCCAGTTAGCTCTAGTTTCAATAGCTCTAGTTCCAGGTAGCTCTAGCTTCAATAGCTCTAGCTCCAGTTAGCTCCAGTTTCAACAGCTCTAGCTCCCGTTTACGTGGCAGGCGCAGCACTTTGAACCTCCATGCGCAGAATTCGTGGCAGGTGCAGCACTTTGTGAACCTCGAGGTGCAGATTGCGTGGCAGGCACAGCACTTTGTGAACCTCCACGCGCAGATTTCGTGGCAGGCACGCTACAAAATGCGTTTTCGAGAGATGTCTTAAAATAGAAAGGGTGGCCCCGAAGCTGGCAAGTCAAGCTTTGCGGAACGACGTGCGCGAGACGGTCTCGGGTCATGGTCGGGTCATGGTCGGATCATGCTCGGAATCGTCCCTCCATTGTGGAAAGAATTTTCACTTGGTTCTTGAAGCGCAGATTTCGTGGCAGGCACAGCACTTTGTGAGCCTCGATGCGCAGATTTCGTGGCAGGCGCAACACTTTGCGAACCTCCATGCGCAGAGTTCGTGGCAGGCACAGCACTTTGTGAACCTCCATGTGCAGATTTCGTGGCAGGCGCAGCACTTTGTGAACCTCCATGCGCAGATTTCGTGGCAGTCACAGCACTTTGTGAACCTCCATGCGCAGAATTCGTGGCAGGCGCAGCACTTTGTGAACCTCGAGGTGCAGAGTTCGTGGCAGGGACAGCAACCTCGAGGTGCAGATTTCGTTGCAGGCACAGCACTTTTTGAACCTTGATGTGCAGATTTCGTGGCAGCCGCACTACAAAATGCGTTTTCGAGAGATAGCGGACGCACGAAATGCTATGTCTTAAAATAGAAAGGGTGGCCCCGAAGCTGGCAAGTCAAGCTTTGCGGAACGACGTGTGCGAGACGGTCTCGGGTCATGGTTGGGTCAGTGTCGGATCATGCTCGGAATCGCCCCTCCATTGTGGTTAGAGTTTTCACTTGAAGTGCAGATTTCGTGGCACTCACAGCACTTTGCGAACCTCCATGCGCAGATTTCGTGGCAAGCACAGCACTTTGTGAACCTCCATGCGCAGATTTCGTGGCAGGCACAGCACTTTGTGAACCTCCATGCGCAGAATTCGTGGCTGGTGCAGCACTTTGTGAACGTGGAGGTGCAGATTTCGTGGCAGGCACAGCTTTTTGCGCGCCTCCATGCGCAGATTTCGGGGCAGGCGCAGCACTTTGTGAACCTCCATGCGCAGAGTTCGTGGCAGGCACAGCACTTTGTGAACCTCCATGCGCAGATTTCGTGGCAGGCAAATCACTTTGCAAACCTCCATGTGCAGAGTTCGTGGAAGGCACAGCACTTTGTGAACCTCTATGCGCAGATTTCGTGGCAGGCGCAGCACTTTGTGAACCTCCACGCACAGAGTTCGTGGCAGGCACAGCACTTTGTGAACCTCGAGGTGCAGATTGCGTGGCAGGCACAGCACTTTGTGAACCTCCACGCGCAGATTTCGTGGCAGTCACAGCACTTTGTGAACCTCCATGTGCAGATTTCGTGGCAGGCGCAGCACTTTGTGACCTCGACGTGCAGATTTCGTGGCAGGCGCAGCATCTGGGGAGCTGGAAGCTGAGAACTGGCGACTTTGTAGTACAACTTTAGTACGCGGAGTAATCTGGCGAGGCTGAGAACTGGCGACTTTGTAGTGCAACTTTAGTACGTGGAGTAGGCTGGGGAGCTGGAGGCTGAGAACTGGCGACTTTGTAGTACAACTGTAGTACGCGGAGCAATCTGTGGAGCTGGAAGTGAGCTGGCGACTTTGTAGTACAACTTGAGTACGCGGAGCAATCTGTGGAGCTGGAAGTGAGAACTGGCGACTTTGTAGTACAACTTGAGTACGCGGAGTAGGCTGGGGAGCTGGAGGCTGAGAACTGGCGACTTTCTAGTACAACTTTAGTACGCGGAGCAATCTGAGGAGATGGAAGATGAGAACTGGCGAGTTTGTAGTACAACTTTAGTACGCGGATGACTCATCTCTCGCGGCTGAGTCCTCTCTCACGGCTGCTCTGGCGCCGCTGCAGCTGAGTCAGTTTGCTGTAGCTTCAACAGCCTCCAGTAAGCTCTAATTTCAATAGCTCTAGCTCCAGTTAGCTTTAGTTTCAACAGCTCTAGCTCCAAGGTGGCGCTGGGTTGGTCAAAAGTCCGGAGCGCATGCGTCAGGCTGAGGGACACGAGGGACACGCATGGTGGAAAGAACCGGGACACTCCTATAGGTCATTTTGTTCTTATAGGAAACTTCCGCCGCCGGCTTGCCGGGAACTGCTTGAATATAAAGGGTACTGTAAAGGGTCATAATAAGAGGTTTCCATTCAAAACAAGTGGCCTGTTTGCATCCTGGCTCCTTGAACAAGTTGGCAGGCTTGCCCACATCTTTGTCGCAGGAAGTGCATCTGTTCTGGTGGTACCTGTTCCTCTTGCCGCCGAAGGGCCCAAATTGCGCGCTACCCTCCCACGTGAAATCATAATATCCTGGATGTTGCTTTACTCCTGGTCTGTGGTTGACGCTTTTGGTGCTCCCATGCTTGGAGCCAATCCCTTGATGTGCCTTCACTTTTCTATACAGGCAATTCTTTTTATGGTATGCAAGTCCTGCCTGAACCACTTCCTCTTTGCATCCCAGGTTTTCGCAACGTACCTTGTTTTTGGTGCATGCGGTCTTCTTGTGGTCTTCCAAATCGCTCTTGGGTACCATTCCTTTACATTTGTCGCACTGTTCAAGCCTGTGAGGACACGGTTTCACATCAGAGTCATCAGACTGGATCGGCTGTGCCGCAGCTGCACGGGAGCCAGTTTGATGAAACTCCCAATCTTTGGCCAGCACTTTTGCCTCACATTCCTTTTCGGCCCAGTTCTTGTTCCTACAAATCCTCACATTGCCGGCGCATTCATGCTCCAAATGATGAGGCAAGCGGAATCTTGGCATTCGGCCATCCACGATGCTGGAATCGTGCATTTCTTTGCATGTCGAAAAGGTGCACTTCGGCGGTTCTTCAGGTGCTTGTGCCTCGTATGGACATCTGACTCGGTATTTCGGACCTGGCCAGGGCAGGTAGCACAACATCAATTTAAGAATAATTCCATGTGAGCAAAAACTCAGTGCGCATTCGGAGCACATCACATGCACATTCGGTTTCCGTTTTAAGTCCATGGATGGAAGCGATACAATGCTGCATGCCGCCAAGAAACACTTCCCAACAATCTGGGACGGACCCTCCGGCCCAAAGAGGTGCAAGGGCAAGTCTTTCCTTGCAAATGCGAAGCGACAAATCGTACGAATAACCGAATCTTCTAAACTGTGCTTCCCTTCCAACAAAGACCCTTACCAGCGCACCCACTTCACCTTCTCCATGTCGTCAGCATCAACCTCAATGTCCTTGCCATCTTCGCGGCATTTCATTGGGCATGGTGCCATGAACTCCTGGCATTTCCCGCAGAGATGATCAGCCGTCTCTTGCCACATGACGTTCTCAGCACACCATCCACAAGGAAGATGAAACCGCTTGCAATCCACAAAGCAATGCTGTAGAAGCGCATCCTGACCACCGTCCAGGTCAGAGTTCCAAAACATTCTAAAAGCTGAGAAACCTTCTATCTGAGCAAGCCAAGTTTCCGTCCAAGTTTTACTTTCCTTGAGAAGAACTGGTTCTGCGCAATAGGGGCATTTGACCTTGAACTTGGTGCAAGACAAGAAGTGAATGAGATAGTCTGATCCGCGAATTCGAGAGCCTCTGCCGGGCTGATCAGCGATTGACAAGTGACCACACACAAGAAGTCAGAATGATAATGGTGACGATGTTAAAAATCAATGTCTCATTATATTATGCATTGTTGCCCGTAAATTATCAAATGGAATGTACAGTGAGCATTATATCAATCTACTCAAGCACACGGCTTGGCTCAAAACCGTCCCACCATGTCCCACCTGGCCTTCTTCCGATTCTTGCGAGCATAACGGACAGCTGACAAGACAGCTCTCACAATCCCGCATCCAATGTTGAAGTAGATCTCGCTTTGGCATCTGTTCCTCACAGCCTTCACCTGGAGTTCGGAAAAAAGTGCCCACCTCTTTGCATGTTACTCTTCTTGCTGCCTCAGTGCAGCTGGACTTAAGATGCTCTTCAATCCCGTTGTACTCCACAGACTCGAAGCACAAATAGCACTGTGACGCCTTTTCACGGTTGCAATCAAGGCTTATATGTTTGCATTCATCCATTCTCCTCAAATCTCTTTTTCCACATTGCCTACAATGTACTAATGCCTTCTCACACTGGGTCGAAATGTGCTTGGCGATTTCACAGAGAGGAATTTCTCGAACTTCACAGAAAGGACATGAAACACAATTTCTGGGACAGGTCCACTTTAAATGGTGCTCCACTTCATCCACATCGATAACCTCCCCACATTCCTGAGGGCACTGCACTGTCTCTGTCTCCAAGTTTATCTGCTCCAACCGCTCTTCGGCAAAGTTCATCTTGGCCAGCAAGTTCATCTCAGGATTGAGGCTTCCCAGCCTCCCCAACGAATTGGCGGTGAGTAACGGCAAGTAATTGCCTTCTGTCAAGCCCCTGCGGCAAAAGTCGTGTGGACGACACCGACCCGCGGAACTTGAAATGTGAAACTTTGTCACATGATGGACCTCGTCGCATTTCAGGACATCCCTGTAGCAGCTGTTGTCTGGAATTTGTTCAGTCTCTATGTTCTCCTCAAACTTGCTGTCGCGCCAAGTTGCACAGTCCACCCAGAATCTCTGACAGCTAGTCTGCAAATGCGCTGCTTCGTCCATTTTCAGAAGCTCGGCCCCACACCCTTTGATACAGGAAACAACATTCTTGGGACACTGGGTTGCCAAATGTGGTAACAAATCCTTGAAAGCCACGTCCTTTGCTTCACACCCTCTTGGGCAGGCGACCTTGAACATGCTGCACTCTGTCAGCAAGTGATGCTCAGCTTTTCCTTCTTCATTGACAGGAATCCAGGTGTCACATCTAAAGGGGCATGGAAGCTTGATGAACTCACACTTCTGCATGTGCTTTGATGCATCGTTGTAGACGATGCCACCAGCGGCATCAGGAGCAGAGCAGCCGCCATCTGAAAACGGACACTGCAACTTGACACATTTCGATATATGTGCAATCAAATCCTGTCCGAGGTGCACATGGAAACCAGCTGCAGAACACTGCGGAGTGCAGCGATGTTCTTGTGTGCAAGAGACACTTGGGTCTTGAATGCACTTCTGATCGTACCTTGATGGGCAAGGAACCCAAAACATTCGGCAGCCATCTTGCGACGCAGACATAGCGCTCAGCCTCAGCACGTTTATTTTTTTGAGAACCAGGACCAGGCATGAACCAAGCTGGACTCGGGGTGTGACTGGTGTTTGCGATAATTACTGATTTGAACGACCAAAATCTTAGAGTCTGAGGCTTCAACTGACCAGCTTTCAAATGCGTCTTCAATTCTCTGAACACATGTCTGTCGCCGCACCCCATCGGACACAACGGCTGAAATTTCTTGCAATCTTGAACAATGTGAGCCATGTTGTTTCCAACGCCGTCTAGCTTGTCACCACATTCCCCACAATGCGTCGCAGCGTTGTCCTTGTACTCGTAGCTGGACATCGTAAGAGAACACCCAGGCCACTTACATTTCATCTTCAAATTTGGGCAGGCTTTGTTCACATGCCTGTTCATTTTTCCTTCGCACAACTTGAGCCCACACCCCAAAGGGCAAGGCTTTGCTGCTTGGCGACATTTCGACTTGTGGAGATCCAACAGTTCCAAATATGTTTTCCTGCCACCCCCCCCGCACCGTGTCGTTGCACCGCAAGCACTTTACAGCCAGCCTTGTGCAGTCCTTCTTGAAATGTTCTTCCAAGCGATCACGGCACATGGATTTACCACAACTGCCATCAATTCGCACTTCCCACTCTTCAGCCACTGAAAGATTGGCCCATAATTCTGGCCCATCCTCAGCGCTTCCGGGGCATTTCACCCGCCGCTTCGGGCACAATGATTGCTTGTGACGCTCGATCCTGAATTTGGGCACAATCTCCTCGCAATCAGTACATAGTTGCGCCTCACACAATTGGGTGTCTTGACAGCACAAACGTGACCACTCAAACATGAAAATATACGATCCTGCCTGACACCATGCTTTGTGTTCTTCCTGCGCAGCGCCTCATCATGGCGATGTGCCACAACAAAAGGCGCGGGCACAAGCCAGAAAACTCTCGGTGGGAAAACCTCCGCTAAGCATACAAATAGATGAGAACATTGAAAGGATGGGAAGAATACTGAGTTTGTGCAACGAGCCACTTGATTTGGCAATCATCTCGCCACACTCTTTGCATGGTTCCAAATCAACACCTTCTTCGTTGCGACATGTGTGTCCGGCGAGGAAGTCCTTGCACATCATTTCCTTGGCAAAGTGGTTTCTTGAATAGTTTTATAACCTGAAGAACATCCCAAACAACATAGAGGCCCGCATTGTTTTGTGTCAACGATATCTGAGAACCCACATCGTGCTTGGAAAATTTGCTCAAAACTGTTGCGCTTGGATAATGTGTCGTTCTTGGGCTCTTTCAAACCCAGCTTGCTTGGCGAGCTATTTGTTATGAAGCTGGAAACTGTTTTTGGTATCATTGTGAACTTATGAACATTGTGTGCGAACCTTTCTTGGGAACTCGTCGCGTGCCTGAAACTTGTCAATTCGGACCCTTACCTGTTTCTTGCGAACCTGGCAACTTCCTTAAGAATCTGGGGAAGTTGGAGCCTTCATTGGAACCTTTGTAGTCGTGCTGGTTCTTTAAGCTCGCCGATGGTGATATCTTTCCCCGGCTTGTGTCGGAGCCCAGAAGTTTGGTGGGAACTTTGGTGAAACTCAACTCGCCTCTCTACTCGTGGAACATGAACCTGGAGGCTTGTTTAATCTATGTTTAACAAGCTCCAAGACTCGCTTGCAATGGACATGGCTTGAGATATGTGGAAAGGTCATGGAGGTTTATTGGACAAGAAACGAAGTGTGTTTCAAACCCAGAGGACCCTCCTGGCACAGGTTCAGCCGGTGAAGAATCATTCTGCGATTACCAATTCCTTCTGGCCAAACACTGCGCTCAAAACAGGGATCGCAGCGAAGCGCCTAGAGCTTTAGCGCATTCGCGTGAGCCAGAGGCATGAGCTGCGCGCTCTTCCTTTTGCTGGACATATAACGCAGACGCATACATAGGTCCTGGTTGCTTTGGATAGTTTTTTGAATCAAACCTGGAGCGTTTCCCGTCGAAAGTGGTTCTTCAAAAGTTCTCCTTTCCGTTTTTTCAGCAAAGCTCCATCAACCTTCTTGAGCATTTCTTCAATGTGAAGTTGGACCGATTGATTTTTTCCGCGTTGCCCAAGGCTGTTGATGTGTAGTAGGCACCAGCACTATGCCCTCTAGCTAGACAAGTTCAAGAAAGAGATCTGCGGCAGTTCGACTCATGCATCAACGGCGCAAAAAGGCTCTGCGGCAGGAAGAGAGCATGGGAAGTAGGTTGACACTTCCCATCTTTTTTTTGCCTCAAAAGGGTGGCCCTTGACATTATCGAGGGGGACTGCAAGTCAAGGTGGTTTGCAGCGGGCAAAAGCGAACGCAGTCTATTCGCTCAGCTTAGCCGTGTGTACCTGAAAGTCAGGGCCCTATTCCAACCATCAAGGCACCAAAAAAGCACTAGGTTGACAAATGCAACGAAAAAATACAAACAAACAATTATACACCCAGTGTCCTCAGAACATGCACGACATTGCACAAGGCCTTTGCACTCCTTGCGATGGGACCTCTCACAATCCCAACGCTTCTCCGCACTTCCGCCACTTGCAGAACATTCGGGGCAATCATCTCCGAGGCATACACCTTCCAGTCACTAGCTAGCAAGCCCGCGAGATTCCCAATTCTCTCAGCCCCGAATACATATATATAATCTAAATTACTATAATTAAATTACACATAAACGCACGTCAAGAGTGTGCTCTTGATATCTAGATCTAGATTGCGAAGCATGCCAAAGTCTCCGTCAGCCAGCCCGACCTAAAAAGGGCCTAGTCCTAGCCAGAGGCAAGCAGTCTATTGGACCCACCAGCACTGAGAACGAGCCATCCCCTTCCGTACCTTTGCATAATTTGTCAGCTGCAAAACGCACGCCACTTCACCGGCTGTAAGAGCCCTACAAGGCTTGAGCCACCCCTCACCCAACACAAACCTACACGGACCTACTCAAACAGCAATACTGGAGGCGACCACAATCAATGCTCGAATCGGCAAACGCAAATGCTCCATACTGGTCCTATGTTTTCAGGCTTGAAACTAAAAGGGCTGTGACGAGGGAAGCTTGACGCAAGCAAATGGAAAAGAACACACTGTGCCTAGGTTGTCGGCGTTGCAGCCAGCGTTGTCACATTGGTGAGTTGGAGGATCATTCCGCTTTGGGCAATCTTTCTCATGCTCGTAAAGCCTCGGGACGCCAGGCATATCTACACTTTGGCCACACCAAAGAAATAATGCTAGGTCGAAAGAACAAAGCGCTAAGCAGGCAAACGGTTGATTGGCGAGATACTCGTTCATCTCATGCAGCTTTTGACACCAGCGACAAGGCAGTTGCAACGCATCTCGCTGGGGGCACTGATGCTGAACGTGCTCCACGAATTCTGCTTGTGGGATGAATTTGAGGCACAACGCGCATTGGACCTTCGGGTTGTTTGACTGCGCAGTGGTATCAAGGATCGGGTTGAAGAATTGGTCCTTGTATTTGTCCAAGTTTGCTGGCGTCGGTGGCATGTCCAATAAGATCATATCATCGTTCTTCTTCTGGTCCAAAATTTCCCCAACTTCAACTGCCACCTGTTTGGCCTCGCGCAACATCTTCCAAAGCTCCTCCTTGTCCTTGTCGCTGAGATTGGCTTCTGGACATTGGGCCTCAGCAATCATTGCGCACACAACACGCACCAGCGTGCCAAAATCTACGAGCCCTCCAACTGCAAATTATGTTAGACAAAGTCCTGCTTGCGGCATTACAAAAAGGAGTTGGCGCGAGAAAAACACATGACGTTGAGGGGACCTGAAATGATGCATTGCTCGTCCTTGCGCAAGTCAAATGCTTGCTCTATGTGCACAGTTTCATTGAAGAAAACATTATGATTATATAGTCAAATGAGGGTTTGGTTCTCCCAGCTCGCTGCCCTCGCTGCTGCATGTTTGGAGGTCAATTACTGCTGCACCTCTGCTTTGCATTGTAACAACTACGTCGGGAAGGTGCGGTAGGGGACCCAACCAGAAATTCCGCCCTTTCGTGCAGTAGGTTGCCACTGGGTTTCTCGTCAGCTTACGCATGCATCGAGCTCTTAACTGCGCGCGCAAACCACTTGCGGTACACGCATGCTTGGCTAAAGTTGAGCGCTGAGTCACTGGCGAAGTGATTGTTTTGGCCAAACAAAACTCCGTGAATGTTGAACCTCGAGGTTTGAATGGATTGTTCATTGCTGTGTTTGATTCAAGCCGAATGGGCAGAATCCCTTGCATCTTGGCACAACTCGTTCTTCTGCGCTGGCCGCTTGGGATGCACATCCGTTTGTTGAAATTTTCAGGCCTTTGAGCAGCGAACTAGATCGCGTGACACATCGCAAGGTCTGCCTGTGTGTGTAACACACCCTCTCTAGAACGATTCATGAGCAGGGGGCTAGCGCATGGCATCACGACGCTGGCCAACGAAGAGTGGCGTCATGGGAAGCAATCAAACACGTCTGACTGTGCACCTGCTTCCGAATTTCTCTCAATCTCTGGTGATGCTTACGCAACGCTCAAGCTATCGCATTCGGCACTTGTTGTAAAGTGCAAATGCTCTCGTCCAATGTTGTAATGCGCTAATGAATCTTCCTGAAGCTTCACTGGACTGCGCCCCTACCAAGTGTGTGTGCCGCAGAATCATCTGATTGGGGCATGTTGTGTGATCTTGTTTGTGGGCGCTGATTCTTCAGGATTGTACCCAAAGTCATTATTGATCATGACTGCAAAGTCATTATTGATATTTTATTGCAAACTAACGGCATCTGCATGAAAACAAATGGATCGCAAACCGGCTGCATCAAACACTTGTTCGTTCTCTTTTTTTGCACCTACCTCTCTTTCTCTCTCTCTCTCTCTCTCTCTCTTCTCTCTCTTCTTTCTTTCTCTCTTTCTTGTAAAAATTTTATGTGTGGTAGTTCAAGCCGGCAAAAAACTGATTCCACACATCACACCACACATTGCAAACACGCTACGTCTCTTTATCTTTCGTGTGCCGAGGTACACCCCCTTGTTGGTGTGCTGCGCCTTTGACTGAGCAGCTGGAAACCACACCGGGACCAACAATCCTGCCTTGCGTCCATTTATTGCAATCAGGACAAATTTGCCGCTGAACTTAGCAGGAAACCTCCCGCTTATCTATACCTACCTCTTGCCTTTTTTTTGTGGCGTTTTTTGGAACAAGTTTGTAAAGCTTTACTTCCGTATAGGTCATCAGTTTCAGCATACCTCGTCAGTGTGCGCCGGGCTCGGCTCTCTTTGTGTGTGTAACACACCTCTCTACACTCTAGAACGATTCATGAGCAGGGGGCCAGCGCATGGCATCACGACGCTGGCCAACGAGGAGTGGTGTCATGGGAAGCAGTCAAAAACGTCTGACTGTGCACGTGCTTCCGAATTTCTCTTACGTAACGCTCAAGCTGTCGCATTCGGCATTCTGCTGTAAAGTGCAAATTTCAAATGCTCTCGTCCAATGTTGTAATGTAGAGCGCTAATGCATCTTCCTTGAAACTTCTCTGCTGGGCTCCTACCGTGCGTGCGTGCGTGCGTGCGGGCGGGCGGGCGGGCGGGTGTGTGTGTGTGTACCCCCTGTAGTCACAGGGATTCTTTTGAAGTTTGATGGATGACACTCACAAATCTTGAAGTGTACCACGTTGTTGCAGTTTAAAGGAATGACACGCACAAATCTTGAAGTGCAACCTTTGGAGTCACAATCCGTTTTTGGTGTTTTGTTGCTGTTTTGTTGCTGCTTTGTGTCTTGTGGGCCCTCTAACCTATTGCGCAAGCCTCCAACCTTGTCGCTATGGCTTTCTATTTGTGGTGTCCTTCTAGTAGTTTATACGCCGGTTGCCCTTAGGGCCGGCGCGTCCACTCTGCTCGACTGGATGCATTCCTATCCAGTCTGCAGAGTTGAGGTGGGCACAGACGCTTGCTGCTGCTTGCTGTTAACTCGGTACTTTGGCCTCCAAACTTAGGCGATGGCCTCCAACTTCTAGCGATGGCCTCTACTTTAACTTTAACTTGCCTTGTTTCCTAAGGTTTTATTACTTAGGCCGGCGCGTGGCGCCGCTGTCAAGTCAGTACGCGTATCCATAAGTGTGTCTGGCCCTGCGCCAGTCCGGGATGAGCCCGTAGAGTGCCTCCCGTGGACCCGTCGAACGGGCGTCTGTCCTGTCCGGGAACGTAGGTGTCCGAAGCGGACAGCAGGAGGCTTACGCCAAAGTTATTTGCCAAGACTTGACGGATTATTGAATTCCAAGTTGGCTCATGCCTTTACGTGACCGCAGCGGTCTAAGCTGGCTCAACGCCTCAACGTGGTCAGAGCGACCGAAATACTTTTGAGGTTTGCTGGAACCTGTCGCGAGCTTAGTCCCCCCCCTTCCCCTTCCCTCCCCTTTTCTTTCTTTGCTTTTTGGTGTTTTCCTGAATGGAATACTCAGGATCACCCCTTTCCTTCTTTGGTGTGCCCCTGGACGATTGTTCGTAGCTGGGAACACCTGCCCTTTTCTTTTCTCTCCTCTCCCTTTCTCTCCCTCTCTTTCTTTCTTTCGTTCTTTCTTTCTTTCTTTCTTTCGTTCTTTCTTTTTTTCTTTTCTTTTCTTTTCTTTTCTTTTCTTTTCGTTTCTTTTCTTTTCTTTCTTTCTTTCCTCTCTTCACCTTCCTTAAGAAGTATCGCCGAGTCGGTCTTTACAACTCATTTGCTTCAGGACATCCGAGACAAAAGGCTTGACCTCAATGCCATCGCCGAAGCTCTCCACACAGCACAGGGAACTGAGATTCCCAATAAGACCACTCAGCCCAGGGCAAACCACGCACCACTCATTGCATTTCTCACCCAGCAATTGGAGGCCCATGCCCCTGCTGCAGCTGAGGGTCGCGCACGCCCTCAAAGCCACCACCGACGACTTGGAACGCGCACAAGCCAAGCTCCAAGCCCATGGCCTCCACCTCACACCATGCAAAGATGCCACTCGTCGCTCCACAGCTGCGACGGCACCTGCCCCTCCCGCAGCACCCCCCAACACACCAGCCTCCTTCCCTCACAGACGTACTCCAACCTCCCCACCCATCCCTCAAAGTTGATGTGCCAGATGCATGGACTAACGCGGCCATTCAGTCGTGGGTCTCTACCTTCAACATCGAAATCCAAGAGTCTGCATTAAAGAGGTCGTTCGCATTCTCCAAACCAGCAAGGTTACGACCGAACAGCTGAAGGAAGCTGCCACTCACTACGGCCTACCACTCGCCAAGCTCGGTCGTACCACCATCAAGTCCCTCCAAAGACTTGTCAGCATTGGAGCGGCACTCGCTTGTTGACTTAGTTTCCTCGGCCAGCAGTCACCCAACCCCACCAACATGCATCAACTTTTTCATCTTCACAGAGCCCTGTCAACTCTTATCCATCAATCCCACTACATTGAACGCGCCGACGCCCTCTTTGCTACAGGACTGCTACACCTCACTCTCCTCTTCACCTACCCTTCCTCCACCAGCTCCACATCCTCCCCCACACCTACCATTTTCACAACTTCCTCTCTCCCAATTCCGTGTACATCAAACTGCAGTTCAACATCCAACTCCCTCACCGGCGCTACCACCAACATGGCCACTTTTACATAGGCTCCACTGAACACAATCGCCGCGCCAAACTCAAGCAACTTCAAAACAACATTCCAGTATCAGCGGAACTGTCCTTACGTTACTGGCATGCGCACAACAACATCCACCACTACACCACCATCCAACTGTCGCCTCATGACACATATGATCAGGCTTGGATCCACGAACACAACCACATCTCCAATTGGATGGCCCCTCTGAATTGGCCGTTCATTTCACCCCATCTCAAACTGAAAGCACAGGGCTGGCAATTTACAAAGCATAGAGCTCACTTCTACTCACACCTCGCCACCCACAAACGCCTCTTTCGCCGACTGCGCAGACGACAACACACCCTTCGGGAGCCACACCTTTTTACCTCCACAAAACACCACGCCTTCACGCAATCTCACCAAACATACATCCGCTTCTTTTGAAGCTGCCAAACAATTACGCAGCGGCCGCCACACTGACCTTGAGGTCTATCGATTCGACGCATGGGAGCCAAGCTCGAAGAGCCTGGCAGAAGTCGAGCCCTCCACATCATCCACCAAGCACTTCACTATCGCAACCAGACACCTCCACGACCCAACATCCCTCTCGCAGTCCCATTCCTCGCTCGTGAAGATTTCCTCAAGCATTTGCAGCAATGGCTTCAAACTACCATCCAACAACACAAACACCTTGCTATTCCCCTGCATTTGCCCACCCACAGGCTTCGAGAAGCCGCCCACGAAACCCTGCGAGCCCAACTACACAACCTAGGAGGAAGCCCTCCACACACCTCCTGATCCAGCAGATCTCCCCTGCGCATGCTCTCATCTCCACACACTTCGCCCACCACCAATGGACATTACATTCTCACCCTTGATCAACTTGCCTTGCCACCACATGTCTGCATCTTCCTGGACGCCAACATGAACAGCACTTTTTATCCAACCAAGGCTCGATATACTTTCTCACCTTTCAAGCAGCCTTCCACAAGTGGCTCAAGCTTCAAGGCCTTCCAGTCTCCCTGACTCGACACTTGGAACCTTTCTTACAACATCAATGGCACCTCCACGTCGTCCACCTCAAGCACCACCCACATTTCACGGCCCGCCTCCTGCGGCAACTCCAAGCCTACCTCGGTGATCAAGTCGCGCTCCACCATGCAGATCACGAACTACAACAACTTCATGTTTTCTGCCCACAACAATACTTCACCGGAGCCCTCAACACCTGGCAAGCTCCGGAACTTTTCGAACCACTACCCCATCTCACTCCCGCCAACATCCACGAACATCTCACAGCCACCATCCCCTCCAGCCTTCGCTCTAAAACAAATGGGGATTTTGCAAAGATTTCACCATTCCATATGGCATCGTCCATCTCAAAGCCAAGAAACAATGGCAGAAGGGCCGTACCATCATCTCGTACTACCACTCCATGGCGGGCAACCTTCTCCGCGTCACCAGCCGAGCGCTCGACATCATTCTCAAACACCTCTTCCCACAGCATCCTGGGCAACTCCCCATCCCACAACTTTGGCGCCATTTCCATTCCTACCTCTCCCAAACACCAGCAGACATCACCCTACATGCCACACACACGACCTGGTTGGTTTCTTCAACTCGGTCCCCAACACCGCTTGATTGATGCAGTCCACTCCCTGATTCACGAATGACAAACCCAGCAGTCGACACACACCCTTACAGTCGACACCAAAGCCACCGGCAACCCTTTTCACCGCTCCCACATTGGCAGACATCACACTCGGCATCCCACACAGCGCACTCTCCACACCTCACATATTACTACCATTGTTACCTTTGCTCTCAACACATTTTTTCCGGGCCTGCAACAACACCTACAAGCAAATACAAGGCGCCGGGATTGGATCCCAGCTGTCTCCGGCCCTATATGCAATGTGACCATCACCCTGATCGAACACTCTTGGCACCAGCTACACACCAACCTTCTCCACCACACCGGCCTCCATTTTACCTACTACCGCTACGTTGACAACCGCTTCATTGTACACAACGAACACGTTCTCTCACGCTGTCCAAACCCTCATCCACCACAACTTCTTCGGCGACCCAGTCGAACTTGAAACCGTGGATGACTTCCACCTCGACCCTGGAAAATCCGGGGCTCCACAAGCGCAGGCAGTCAACGACTCACATTGTCCGGCCTCGCCTCCAGACTCCACGCCACCATTTACACATATACATTCCCACCACACGCAGGAGCTGCCGCGGCCGAAGAACTAGTCCGCCTCTACGTCCTGAAGGGACACGCAGCAAGAGACTGCCAGCTATTTTTTGAAATCCACGAAAAACAACCGCCATTTGCCCCACGTGCGCCGGAACCGGCTTCGTGTGTGTGTGTGTCAACCTCTGTAACTCAGAGTCCCTTTCCTTTTCTCCTTCTTTGTTCCAGTTTCCAAGCAGGGGAGTGGAGCAGGCCTGCAGAGCTCCACTTAACAAAGCTCTCTGGACGCTTGCTGACGTACCTGCGACAATTCAGAACTGTTGCTCAAGCTGTCCCCTTTCCTTTTTTGCTTCCATGGTGGTTTGCACGATACTTCCGACAAACCCTCTCCCCACCGCCGCTTTGCAGCCGCGTTGAGTGCCAGATCGTTTTCGAGCGCAACTGAAAACAAGGTTAAACCACACTATTCTTGCCGACCTTTTCACCTTGCGGTTCTCTCACCCTCCTTCCGCTTGGGAATTGAGTTAACAGAAAACCAATGTCAGAGTGTGTGTGTGTGTGTCACACTCTGTCCCAAAGAGTTTCTCAGCAGGGCGGCCAGGCCTGTCACATCGACCTGGCCCAAAATAGCTGGGATGTGACAGGGGCACCAGGGGACGCTTTGGTGTGCACCTGCAAAACAACTGTGCACGCTGTCTACTTTCTTGGTTGGCTTCCATGGCCGTTCTCATGATAGCTCCCAAAACAGGTTTCCCTCGGTCCCTCGCTACGTATTCAGTAACGAATGTGCGCAGTCATGCAAACTTTTGTTAAACACCGTCAATTCCACTGACCCAGCCGCATTGCCGTTTGCATCCAGTTTTCGCTCGCTACGTATTCAGTAACTATAGAGTCCGCAATCACGCAGCAAACATTTTTTCAAACATCTTCAAGCGCTTGGACTATTCACCTTTCCGTTGGGCCATTCCTTTACTCGTGGGAACTGAGTTAACTGAAAACCAAGTGTCAAAGTGCGCGCCGCTCTGTCGTCCCACTGGGCGCAGAGTGCGTGCCCCGTCACTGTGGCGCTGAAGCCGCTCCGGACTACCGTGTAACTGATTCAACGTCCTCCGCATACGTTGGATTATCTTTTCTGGATTGTATGTTTCACCCAATGAATTTCCTACCGCAACACTGCCGAGTTTACGGAGGTTTGAAACCGCCGGGTTTACTGAGATTCGACAACCGCCGTGTTTACGGTCATGTAACATGCCAACTCCAAATCGACACGTCACATCCAAAGCGACGATGCACATCTGCCGATGAAGAACCGACGCAAAGGCTGGACATCTTGTTCTAGTTAGAAGCAGGGCCCACGATGAAGTGTCTCAGGTATAACAGCAGGTACGTGGATTCTGCGTCCAGAATCCATATCAGTGACTCGTAACAGCCTCTTCGTTGGACTGCCGCTGTTACAAGTCAGAGGGTCCCCTGCTGAACACAAGAAAACAAAAGAAAACAAAGAGCGCAATCCGAGAGGATCCCTGTGACTACAAAGGGCACACACCCACACCCACACACACCCCCCACCTTGCACCCGAATTCGCACGTAAATCACACCCGCTATCTAGGGTAACAGAAGGAAATGGTACTCGACACACTTGCGCGTCGGTACCTTTAAAATTCCTTCTGTTTCTCCTGTCCTACTTCTAGCTACCTGGGCGGTTTAAGACTAATGTCCCGCTCGCTAACTAGTGAATTTAATTCATGCGGCTAAGTATTCAATAACTAGAAGGTTTCGTAACTAGTGGGCCTCGTAACTACACCTATCTTTCTCTCTTGCCCTTCGCGTTTCTCTTTCTATCTTTTCTTCTCTTTCTTTCTTTCTAAGGCTTTTTAGGTGGTTAGTAATTTTCTTTCGAGCGCCGATATCGGCGCTCTGTGTGTGTCACACTCTGCCCCAAAGAGTTTCTCTGCAGGGGGGCCAGGCCTGTCACATCCGACCTGGCCCAACGAAGCTGGGACGTGAGAGGGGAAGCACCAAGGGACGCCTTGGCGTGTACCTGCAAAACAACTGTTCACGCTGTCTACTTTCTTGGTTTGCTTCCATGGTCGTTCTCATGATAGATCCCAAAACAGGTTTCCCTCGCTACATATTCAGTAACGAACGCGCGCAGTCACGCAAACTTTTGTTGAACACTTTCAATTCCACTGACCCAGCCGCCTTGCCATTTGCGTCCACTTTTCGCTCGCTACGTATTCAGTATCTAGAGTTTGGAGTGATGCAGCAAACATTTTTTCAATCATCTTCAAGTGCATGGACTGTTCACAGCCATTCCGTTGAGCCATTCCTTTACTCGCGGGAACTGAGTCAACTGAAAACCAATTGTCAAAAGTGTAACCCTTGGAGTCACAGGGATTCCCGTGAATGTCTCTTGCTTTTGTTATCTTGTCTTCAGCCGGGGCCCACAGACCTGCCACTGTCGCTGTGGCCAATGAAGACCGGCGGTGGCAGGAGTGTAAACGTGCCTGCAGCGGCCCTGGACGGCAAACCCCTTCAGGGGGCCGTAGCTGGGCACTGCAGTGACAGTGCCTGGGCGTCTGCGCAGCTGGGGTGTCACCTTGAATGCATTACAGACAGTCCATGGGCGCTGGCGTGCACAGGATGTCCATCATTGTCCTTTCTCCTTTCTTCTTCTTTCCTTTCCCTCTTGCTCTTCTGGTCGCGTTGACTCAAGCCGTTGGTTGAACGACAATGTACACACTTCCTTTTCTCCAAGCTATTTGCGACGGCCTCCAACCTACTTACGCCGACCTCCAACCTACGAGCGTTGGCCTCCGACCTTCGTGCGATGGCCTCCAAACTATTATTGCCTGATATGTATACTGTACACTTTTCGGGTATACGCTTAGTCTTGTATGCCCGTGGTAAACGGTAAACAGTTTTGTCTTGAGTGAGCGAAACCTTTGGAGCTGTCTTGTCTACTAACCTACTTACGATGGCCCTCGCACCTAGTTGCGACGGCCTCCAGCCTAGTTGTGTTGACCTGCTACCTAAGAGCAATGGCCTCCAACCTACTACCTACTAAGTGTCTTGCTGTTACAGTTGCAGGATGATTCAGGTCTGCAGATGTGCACTTGTCGACTCTCGTTTCCTTTTTCGCGTGTGTTCGAGAACTTTGTGAACTTGGAGCTCTTTGGCACTTGCATTGTGCACTTTGAGATCTTTGGGACTCTTACCTCTTCCTGGAACCCTTATGTTGATTCTTCTCACGTTCCTGGAATTTCTCCTTGAGTGCTATCCTTTCTCTTCTATCTTTCGCAGAAGCCCCAAGGAGATTTTCCCTCTTCAATATTTTGTTGGCCTCGGCAAGGGCAAAGTTGGCTTCTTTCAGCTGCTGCTGCTCCTCTTTCGATTGTCTGCAATCCAGTCGCAGCTTCTTCTACCATCTTTGTTGCTTCGGCCATTACTACCCCGCAAACCCTCTAGCAGTAATTGAACGGTTATGCGTGGAAACTAAAAATCCATGCGAAAAATAAAACATTGGATAATATTTTCTGCCACTTGGTTTTTGTGAAGTGCGGATGACAATTCTTAAGTGTGGGACAGTATGCAAAGAACGCAATCCGTTTCAGGCTCGAAGCGGCATCAGCACTCGCCCCAAAGCACTTCGAAGTCATGTATATTACCCTTGCCTCATAATGAAAATGTTTTGCTCTCATTTCCTTCTCATTGATCTCCAATTTATATCCTCGTATTTCAGTCTGGTTTCCAAGTCACGATGACCCTTCTCTGCGATCATGTTCATCTCTGATCCTTTGAGGGCTGCCAATTGTCCGCGAAGATGTTCAACCGTCCTCTTCTCTTGATGCTGATGACCAGTAGTCTCAGCTACTTCATTGGCCAATTGCGTCTGGTGCATTTCGCTGTTCCACGCTCTCTCTCCCTCTCTCTCTCTCTCTCTCTCTCTCTCTCTCTCTCTGAGCTACCTCCAGCATATTGCTATTCTCATCTTGCAGCATCAGGCACCCTCAATTGAAGCTCGTTAGCGACATTCATGACCGCTTGGTTCTCCTCACTGAGGTTTTGAGCTCTCCTGCTGCAAGTATCAGAAGTCTCGTTTTGTTCTTGGATGTAGCAGAAAGCACCATGCATCTCGCTGGTCATGTCCTCCATACTGAGAATGTTCCTCTAGATCCTCATGAGGAAGTCCTTCGTACTTCATGTAGATCTGCTAGCGATTCGGCAAGTCGGAGCTTCTTCTCAAGTTCTTCAATACGTATGGTTGCTCCTTCATCTTCTTGCATCATTTCTTGAAGGTGAGTGTGCATAGTCATATTGCCTTTTGTTAACTGCGAGAATTCTTCCTGTGATTCAGTATAGAGTCTTGCATACCCATTGCGCAAACAGCTATACTCGTTCAAGTATTGAAATGATAATCTTGTTGATCGGAGTTGTTCCAAAAGTTGCATTTCTCTTTCTTCAGGGTCTTTGGCGTCCTCGATTTCAACTCCCTCGATATCTCTCTTCGGTGATCTTCTTGTCGTTGTTCTCGGCGATGTAGATCTTGAAAACCTTTTCATAACTCTCTTTGCGTTGTCCATTCTAACATCGGATCCAGCAGATGTCGTCTCCGGGGGAGCGACTCTGCCATCACCTGACACTTGTGAGCTCCTTGGCATGGTCATAATCGTGCCATCAGCTGAGCTCGCACCGGTCAGCGCACCTGGTGATGACTGCGATGCGGCTCCTCCTGGCGCGGCGAAAGAGAATTGTCCACTGCTCTTTGCTCCAGAACTCGACATTGCAGGTTCAATGTTGACAGTTGCAGTAGCGGTCTCTCACAAGCTCGTAACCTCAGAGCGGCTACCGGCTGATAACCTGCGTGTGGACATTAATCTGCCCAACGTGAAGTGTAGGTCTTAGACTATCGTATTCCCATGTAAATTGCGGTGGCGCGCGTTCTTTTTCCGCTGAGTCTACGGGAGTCTTGAGCCAAATATTGGCGTGTCACGCTTATACTGTTCTGTACAATAGCATACTGTGCATATCACTCCACTGCTATTGGCAATTTTAACTCACCGTAAAGAACT